TTGATCTTTTTGCACCCTGAGCACAGTGCATTGGGTGTACACCTCCGCAAAGTACTTGGCCCCGACCTTCCAGCCAGTCTGATCTTGGAGGCCATGACCGAAGTGGACCAAGTGTTGACGCTCTCCTGCCTGGGTCAGCTTGAGCTCCATTACAACCAAAACCACAAGGTGTACAAAGCTCGTGCAGCGCTGCCAAATCGGCCTGAGCAAGAACAGGATTTGGCTGTCAAGGAGTATGCATTTGCCCAGCAACACAAGCAAAATCAGTGTCGTACGTTTCTGCGCGAGCTTCGCGCCATGCGCCAGCTTGAGCATCCAAACATCGTTCCAGTCCTCGGTGCGCTTGTGGGCGTGCATGATGGCCACCCAAGCGCCTATCTGGTGCAGCCGTGGTGTACACAGGGGGATCTGCAGCAGTGGCTCGGCAAGGCGCGGCATCTGGCCACCTCGACCGTCGTTGCGAGTTTGATGACGCAGCTGCGCATGGCCCTGGCGTTTATGCATAGCAAGGGCCTGGTGCATCGGGATGTCAAGCTGAGCAATGTGATGCTGGACGGTGACGAGGACCAACCTGTTGTGCGGCTCGGCGATTTCGACATTACCAAGGCGGCTGCCGAAGCCACTATGCTACCATGCACAGCCACTGAGTCGTTGGGCACGACTGGCTATGTAGCACCGGAGGTGCTTTTCGGCCAGGGTCGAGTGGGGGCGCGTTCGGCACAGGATGTCTTTTCCTTTGGCTGTGTGCTATACAACACCTACATGTTTCCACAGACGGTGCCGCCTGCTCGTTTACCCACGGACCAGCTTGCCGACAAATGCAGATGGGATGCAGGGGCAGGAGGTGCAGAATGCAGTTTTCCGCACTTGGCGGCTGAGGTGAGTAATATCGCAATATCCCTTGAGCGACAACTGAGCACCGCTTTGATTGTGATTTGCTTTGCTAACCTTTGCTGCAGATGTGCAATTCGACGAGCGAGTTGTACAAGGAAACACGGGCCTTGCTTGCAACAGATCCAAAGCAGCGGCCAAGTCTCTTCAGCGCCGGGCAAAGAGTGCAGCGACTTGTCACGACCCAGGTTGTTGGGCCAGCTATTGACGTTTTGCGCGACGCACCCGAGCTCATCCCAGAGGTGCGTTGCTTGCCGACATAGTCATATTTACATTATTTTTATCTTGACAAGCCGACTGATTTGACCCCATTGTGTACCAAGGTGGTTGAGCTGCTACAGCAGCTGAGTGCTGACGGGCGAGGGCCAAGCAACATTGCAGTGCGGCGGGTGGAGCGTGTGCAGAACCCCGTGTGTGGGAACGGTACAGCGCCAAGCGATGGGAGATGCTGCACCGCATTACAAGTCAGGAGCACTATGATCAACTTCATACGGCCACAGTAGATGCGCTCTCGGGCTGTCCAGCTTGCTCG